CAGCATCTGCCTTCGGCTCAGGTCATGATCCCGGGGTCCTGGGATCGAGTCCTGCGTTGGGCTCCCTGCTCAGCTGGGAGCCTGTTTCTCCCTCTCCCTCTGCCATTCCCTCCACTTGTGCTCTCTGGTTCTCTCTCTGTGTCAAATAAATAAATAAAATCTTTAAAAAAAAAAAAAAAAGAACTATCTTTTCAAATATAACAAACAGTCTTGGAAGATAAAGAATTGCCCCCTGGACCAGAAGGCAGTTTTGTTACCAAATTAGGATACTAAAGATCATATCTTTCTCTTAGGGAAAGTTTGGGCTAATTTTCTGTCAGCTCCTTAAAGAACAGAGTCCCTCAGCTATGACACAAACCTACTGGGTATGCAGCATCACCACATGGAAACTGCAGGTCACAGGGAATCTATATAACTATGTAGTGCCACCTTTGGTGCTGTTAGTAATAAAGAGCTTTGTTTCTGACCCAGAAATCTCATGTCTCCTGCCAGCATCTATTAAAGTACGGGCAGGCATACAAATAGGCTAAAATCTCAGACCCTTAATAAAGAAGACACAGACAAAGAGAGAAAGAAACACAGTAAATATAGTGATACAGTAATTAGGGAGTGATTTCCAGGAGAGGAAAAAGCAAAGTACATGAAAGTATTTATAATATGCTATATTTTATAAGATAGAGGAAATAGGAATAATACACATGTATACATATATATATATATATATATATATATATATATATATATATATATATATATATATATATATATATATATATATATATACTTAATTATACAAGAAGATGCACAGGAAGCATAAATCCAGAAGTTAAGAAAATTGGCTACCTACAAACGATAGAGGAGAACAAGCTAGAAAGGAAGTGAATGACACCTTTCTGAGAGATGTACGGTGTATAGTATTTTGGCTTTGTATAATATTTTGACTTTTGGAAGCATGTTAACATACAGATATCCAAACATATAATTAAATCAACAAGAATGGGGACAAGGGCACCTAAAACTGAATACAAACAGAAACAAATGCATGCAACCATATTTCAAATGAATTAGCTAACTACAATCAAGGGGGAAAAGAACTCCTGAATAAATTTGAAATAAACTTTAATAAACTCTTGAAATAAATCTTGAACTTTATTAAGTTTTATTTTTCATAAGGTATGGTTGTAGCAATTGTGAAACTATTTTACATGTATTATATAATTAAGCAAATGGGTAAATGTATTGGTGTTGTTAGGAGTCACAGTTCTCTCACTTTGAATGAAGGAAAATACAAATGTGAAATGGGGAAAAACAAGGAAGAATTCTGTGGTTTGGATTGAAGCTGGAGGTGTTAGTATGACTCATAATTTCTTAAAAATACCTAACTGTCTAAGTATCTAAGTCTTAAGTATCTACCTACCTACCCACCCACCTATTTATCTAATCTAGGACTGAAAAGTCCTAGAAGTAATGAAATCCCAGAGACAGTGGACATATCACATGTCCAGACCTTGATTCATAAATACCATTTTCCTCTAAAATTAAATGAAATGATTTGAAGAAATAGCTGATTCCATGAGTAGGACAGGGAAGGTTTCAAATGAGCCTGGAACATCTTGTTGTGCCAGAAAATAAGGAGGTGCTTTAAGAAAAGATGGGGTGTGTAGAAACAAGCCAAAAGCCATCTTGAAAGGATACTCCCTGGACAAATCTTGGACAATCTGAGTTTCAAAATAAGTAAGAAAAGTAAAGAATCCATGAGTCCTTGCTTACAATAAATAGATAAAACAAGAAATAAGGGTGGGCTCTTCTTTAAAATAGAATGCTGGCTACTAAATCTGGGAGGGAGTGGTGGAGTAGGAAAATCTCCATTTACAATCAGGCAAGAATCACCAATGGATGATGGAGCACCAACCTTCAAAGACCCTGTTTAGAACTTTCAACAGACAAAGACTTTATGGGTAAGAGACAAGTTTGTGAAAAGAAAAATACAATAGCATTGGGCACTAGAGTAAAAATTTAAGCTAAGAATGACAAGCTGGACATAGAAAAAAAGAAATGATAGAACAAAGGCTAATCAAGAGTTTGAGACATTGTGACAAATAAATGAGATCAGCCCTTGGAGAGGTTCCACGGGAATACAGTCCACTTATCCCACCCTTTTTGCTATCCACATCTGCTTTTTCCTTTCTAAGGGTTACAGGTAACTATATACCAAGAAGAGCCCATAAACAGAATACAAAGGCAGTATATACAACTATGCTATGTATGTGTCCTTGTGGCAAGTATAACATGCTGCATATGTCATTTTTCTTAGCTTATTTATTTTTATTTTTTTATTTTTAGAAGATTTTACTAAATTAATCAATCTCTACACCCAAAGTGGGGTTTGAACCTACAACCCCAAGATCAAGAGTCACACGCTCCAGCAACTGAGTCAGCCAGATGCTCCTTTCTTAGCTTATTTAAATTTATACTTGCTTTTACCCTTAAAACAATGTTAATTCTCTATGATAATTCAAGTAAATTTGAAAAAAACAAAGACTGAAGGATAATAAAAAATTAATTCCACATGTGTGGGATGTTAATTTTACACCATATATTTTTAAAGATCAATCTATTAGAAACTATAATTCTAATTGTATTTAGCTACACAGCCAATTCAAAGAAGGTCTAGATGTGCTAGAAGGCAAGGGCTCTAAGTATCTGCTCAGCTGGAAACTGGAGAGACACAATCCTAAGGAGCCTGCAGCTGTTAGACAGACAGGTTTCATTAATGCTCAAACAATAAATTCTTGAGTTCACTTCCCTCTAGGCAGTTGTGAAGACTATCACTGACTTTACTGGACAATAGTGCATAAGGCAGTATGATCTGTATATATGTGTATATATAGGATATTATGTTATATATTCATATATTCATGTTATTGCAAATATTTCAGTGTGTCAATTTTACAATGTCAACCTATACAGTCTTTTGAACAACCTAGATAAAATGCATTAAAATCATCCACTTCCCACTACCTGTTGTACTGATCCTAGCGCTCTCATCCCTAAAATGCATTATCTTTGAAATATATTTGATGTATATGACCCAGATAAAAATGAAATATAACTTAGGGTCAAGAACAGAAAAGAATAATTAACAATTACTCTTGACTTTAATAAGTAGCTATGCTTGATCAAAGGTTTCAAATATTTTTAGTTGGAAAATTTTCTTCAACTAAACTCTTATTTTAAAAATTTAAAAATTTATAAAATAACTAAAAGTGGAACTACTCCGATTAAAGTGGGTAGTGACAGTCTGGAGTGCCACCTGCTTTGGGGAGCCTTCCTGGCAACCCAAGGCAGTTAGAAAACCAGTGCTGAATAAGATTATAAGTAGAGTATAAACGTATTAAAAAGTCACTGTAAATGAGTTCATACTAGTAAATATTAAAAATGTAAATTTTAAACTAAAAAAATTTGATCCATTATTATTTACTGAGGAATATGAAACAAGTGAAAATGAAGTCTTTTTAATAAATAATAATTTAGGGTGCCTGGGTGGCTCAGTTGGTTAAGCAACTGCCTTCAGCTCAGGTCATGATCCTGGAGTCCCAGGATCGAGTCCCACATCGGGCTCCCTGCTCGGCAGGGAGTCTGCTTCTCCCTCTGACCCTCCCCCCTCTCATGTGCTCTCTCTCATTCTCTCTCTCTCAAATAAATAAATAGAATCTTTAAAAAAATAATAATAATAATAATTTATAAGTATAAAAGACAGCTCATTTTGGCACAATGGTAGCTGTTCTTCCTTATTATAAGCCCCCAATTGATACTGGAATTTGATGTTTTAGATTAACATTTTTATTCTAATGTCCATATGTCCTAAATATATTATGCCACTAAGAAGTGACAAACAGGGATTCAGGAAATAATTTCTAATAATGAGAATAACAATGTAATTCATTTACTTCTAATCTAGACGAATATATAGTTCAAATATTCTAACTAGGTTGTTATATATTGCTTTTAATAATTAAATTTGTATTTTTTAGGATCATTTTTTAAAAGTCTGGGTTTCCTCAGTTTCCTTTATGGTAAGGAAAACCAAAAATCCCTTCTAACTCTAAAATTACTGTAAGGCAAAGTGAAGCTGCCTCTTGCTACTGTTTGCTTTTGTGGGAGCAAACAAAAGCACATTAACAGTTAACAAAGCTACAATATGATATACGAATGAAGTCTTACATTAAAAAAGTACTTAGATTGTATTTACAAAAGAATCTCTATCATTAATTATTCAACATTTGGATCTGACCAGAAACCATAGCATGACTTTATAATGCTCTGTTTAAATGAACTACTTAATGTTGTAATGAACACTCAATGCAGGAAGCTAAATGAATTTTGGACCTGGTATAACGAACACTTTTTCTAATTTCTTGATCAATGGACAGATTTTAATGTTAAGTCAGTTTGAATTTCATTTGTACTTGAAAAATGTTTACTTAAACCAAAAATTTTGCATCTCAATTATTTTATATTCTAAAACTGAATGTAGTTTAAACCAATGCATTATTCATAAAGCAAAGACATCAGGAAAAACAAAGCTGTGCCCTTCTTTCAAAGCCGTTAAATTGCTAAAACATACCATATTTATGCATGCAATATTTGATTGTGTTTTTCTTAAAACACCAGCTTGTTTTTGTCAAATCAAGATATGCCAAAAATTCTACACCAAACATTTTTGTTTATAATTAAAGCAATCATCAATCCAAGGATTGTCATCCATTTTATTTCATCTCTACATCAAAAAAAAAAAGTAATTTTAAAAAAATTTTAAATTCCCTTGAAATGATAAGATAAATGAAAATGTAAGTGCCTTCACATAACAACAGTAAGCTGACCCTTTGGGAAATGGTTGACTTTCTCAATACAAGGTATTCAAAGCTCATTCAAAAGTGTTCATTTAGAATGCAGATATCAAAGATGATGCAAATGTTCAAGAGAAAATTAGAACTTACCAGATGTTCTAATCCAGCTTTGATGTTTCCAGATTCCCTAAAATAGACGAATAAAAGTTCTAAATAGTTGCTAAACAGTTGTCTATCATAATTTACATTTACCTCAAATGCATTTTATAAATCCTTACGATTTTTTCATATTATTTTCACTTAATGTTCATAATAACACTGTTTTTAAGGACAAAACAATTTCCACCAAAAGGAAACAGATAATTTATTTACATCTAATAATATTACCACTAAAACTGGGATTCTACTAACAGACTGTTTCAGATTTTTCAAAGTCAGCAGAGAACAAAAGGAAGTCAAGTGTACTATTATTTTACTATTCACACAATATCTATTTCACATTAGCTTTTTCATTAGAGTTTATGTTTTCTCCAACATTTATTACAAAAATGTTCATACAGATTCTATCTACCATCTAGATTCTACTATTGACATTTTACTATATTTGCTTTATCAAATATCCATCCACCAATGATTGCATTTTATATAAAAAATATATAAAGAATATGTTTGTGACTATACATCTAAGTAACTACATCTTAACAAATTTTTCCTTGACATTAATTTTATTAACTTAGTGCACACTATAAATCAGGACCTAAGATTGTTGTAATATTAAAAAACAAAATATCTCCAATGAAGACACAAACATCAAATATCATGATACATTTTAAGTACTTAATTCTTGCTTTTCACTGTAAAAAAAGACGGCTGATGGAACTAAAAAAACAAATAACTATGTCAGTAGCAAAGATAATTTAAATATGCATTTGGCAAAATGTGGCAAATAGTTTATTTTTCCCCTAATTTTGGTTCTTATTAATTTAGTAGTGACAAATGGACTTAAAATTTCCTCACTCAGACCAAGTAGTATTTTAATTTCATCACAAATACCAAGCCTTGTATTTTTAACATGAAAGTATACTTCTACCACATTGCAGAGAATAATTATGAAACATCCAAGAACAGTATTGCATTCATGATATTTAATCTTTCCCTCACACCTCTTTCTTTCTCTAAAGGAGCCCCAAGTTTACTTTTCTTCTATTTCTGTCTCCAATTTTCACTGCCAAAAATATACTTCTCTGTTTCCTTTGTCTTGCTACACCATCTTTCCAAATCTCCCTATCGTTTTCCCCTTCAGATGTGCTGCCTGAAAACTACATTTCCAACTTTTGCTCTCACTGCCCAGTCTGGTATACTGGGAATAAATTCCAGCATCTACTGATCAGCACTCATCTTTAGCCATTCTCTTCTCTACTTTCTGCTCTGGCAATCTTAGCAATACTATATATTCAATACTTGAAAATTTAAGGATTTCTGAAACTCATTCTCTGGATGCAGTCTTAACGACAAATGACAGGAATAAACTGTAACAAGGAATTAGAAAGGCTAATGGGTACATAATTTTTAATTTACTACAAATTTAATGCATTTCCTGGAGCTAGAAGTCAAATAAATCTTTAAGTTTTCACAAGGACATTCTCATATAGTCACCACGTAATTTAAAATTTAAACAAAAAAAAATGCATATAGTGAAACATCAGACAGTGCAATGCACATGTGTGTGCACTACAGTACAATCGAGTCTTCCTCCCATCACTGACTCCCTGTTCTCAACCAGATATTAGCTCTTTGTTTGTCCTTCTAAAGATATTCTGTGTGTGTGTGGGTCCGTGTGCACGTGCGTCTTTCTCCTCCTGTTTTTTTTTTTTTTAAACCCAAACAGAAGCATACTACATTCACTGTTTTGTCCCTTCATTTGGCAATCTAACTCATAGTTTGCACTATATAATACGAATCTACATCTTCCCCCCCCCCCATGGCTACATTGTCACATCATGGTTCTTATTAGAAAATAATACTGTAGTATAAAAGAACAAAAATGCTCAGATTCAAAGTACAAGTCCATAATTTGAGACCACTAGAATTAGACATGCTTCATCAGAATATTTTGGATTTTAGAAAGGTAGTAAGACATACTATGCTGTATGCCATGTAACATTGGCAGCAAGCTTTGAAGCAGCATCTCATCATCATACACAACAATAATTCTGAAAGCAACATGAATGTCCACACAAAATGGGATAAACAAAGACTATGAATAACTTCATTTCAGGGTTAGTTTTGCTATCAATTGAGTTTGCCACAAACTTAGGGAAAATCCCCCAGTTTTTTCAGCTATTTGTATTTTGGAATCAAGGATAACAATCTGTTCTTTAAAAAAAAAAAAAAAAAAGGCTGGTTGGACTATTGCTTTGTTATATTTTCAAGTGATTCTTTAAATTAAATGATATTTAGGAAATAGGCATTTTGAATGGTATGCAGGAAAGCCACATCATCCTTGACACAGGCCCTTTCCTCCACTACCAAATGTAAACAAATGTATTCAACCACAGAGTCTTGGCGACCGAACATCCATAATTATCATTTAGAATTAGCCACTTCTGTCTTCACAGCTACTACTTTAGGTCATCATCTTTTCTCTCCCAGGCTACTACAAAGCCTCCTAATGGGTCCCAATGGCTCTTGCCTTGCCCCATGTTAACTTATTCTCTATAATACAGCAAGATCTTCCTACAATATACACCTGATTGTGTCATTTCCTTTTCAAAATACACAATATCCTACTACACTCCATTTTATTCATTCCCTGTTATATTGCCAAAAATGTGACAGCAATAGCCATAAGAAATTAACCTGGCTTCCCTCACTACTGAACCACTTGCTCTCTATCTGAAATGCTCCTTTTCTCCCAGCCTCCTCTAGTCTTTCCTCACCTAGCTTACAAACAAAATCAAAACACAACAAAAACAAAACATCCTTCAGGACTCAACCCATACGGGAAAGGAAACCTCCTCCCTTCCTCACAAATGAACTAATCAACTCTTCCCATGTGTTCTCATCACATAGTTTATCATACTTTATTATAAATACCTAATTACTTTCCCAATGACCCCACTAAAATGAAAATTCCTTGAGAACATGGATTGTATCTTTAAAATTTTTATATCCCAACACCCAATACAGTGCCTGCATCAGAGTATGTATTCAACTAATAAGGGTCTGACATCTAAACGTGAAGAAAATCAGTAGCAACCAGTTCAGGTCTCTGACTGGTCCTCCCCAGGCCCACTCTCTCTCCAGACCACACGAAGAGCAAGGCAACTCCAACAGCAAGTGGTTTTTTGGGAGGGTAGCATTGGGGGTTGTGTGTACATATGTGGTGTGTGGAGTATGAGGACACAGTGGAAAACATGGTTGATTCAGGCCAGAGTCCAATACTAGAGGCTTTGCACTATAGTTTTTAAATTGTCCCAGAGAAGCACAAGCCAGATCCTCGACTTTTACCTCTCTCCTTAAAGTTACTAGCCAAGGCAGCTGAATATTGCAAATAAATAAAAGAGAAGTCCATAGGAAGACCTCTGAGGTGAATAAGCACAGGAATAAAAAAACAAATGGAGCAACCTCATCCAGAGGAAAAAAAATAGATTGAGCAAGAACATACTATAAGCGTAACACCTTTAAAGATAAAAGATTTTTAGAAATTTAATACAAAAAAAAAACCAGTTATGAAGAGGAATCAATATGAGATAGCAGGTATTAAAAATACAGTAGTTTGAAATAAAGAACTCAGAGCCTGAATTGAAAGCACAATAGCTACAGACTGAGAATAAATTGGTGAGCTGGAACACTGGGTGGAACTCTCCCAGAAGGCATAGGAAAGGGATGAAAAGACAGAACAAACAAGAGATGAAGTTAAGAAGAGGAACAGAAGTGTGAACATCTAATAATGGGAACCCTAGAAGGAAAACAAAGACAAAACAGAAGAGAATAAATATCTGAAGAAATAATAACAAAAAATTCCCAGATACAGAATTATTCAAATCTTAGACTGAAAGGGTACACAGAGCAGTGAACAGGTTAAATGAAAATCCACAGCAAAGCATAATATAAGGATTATTAAGAGTGTTACAGATCAAGAGCAAAGGCTAAAAGCTTCTAGAATGAACAAGCATACCCCTCCATACAGGAAGAATAACACTGACATCAAACTTCTCAACATTAATGCTAGAGTATAAGATATGTAGTATGAACTTCCACGATAAAGTGTTAAAGGAATAGGACTGTGAACCTAGAATTTATATATAGCTAATAAATTTTTAAAGAGAAGGAAAAATAAATTCTCAGCATACAGGGTCGCAGGAAATTCACCACAGAAAGACATTATTTGAAAGAAGTTCTGACGAATGCAATGCAATAAGAAGAGAAATAAATTCAGGACCAGATAAAGCGAGTAAGGTTGACTTAGAACGTAATTATTATAATCTAAACAATTAGTAACTAAAAAGAAAACTAAAGAAATTTCACCCACAAGTGATATAGAATCAAAATGCCAGAGAAGATTCTCAGGTTGGGTAAGAAACAAAATCCAGTAATGAGTCATTTACAGAGATACATTAAACAAAAGGATTCAGAAAAATTTACAAAAAAGGGATAGTAAAAGATATAACCAGGCAAATTTGAACCAAAAGAAAACTGGGGTGGTTAAGTTTAATGATGAAATATATTTAAGCCACTCTCCCATCCAAAGAACATACATACATACACATTTTTTCAGAGAGAGAGATATATATAAAATGATATTCTATTCTAGTGTAAGATACAATAGATCAAGAAATTTTTATGTATATCCAGAAGGTTTGCATATTCCTAAAATGTAATATGTATCATAGTTTGGGACACGAAAGTTTCAGCAAGTTTTTCATGAAATTCAGTTTTCTTTAGTTTTACTTTGGGCAGAAAGACAAGGAAGAGGGGCCATCTCAAAACAACACAAATAAAGCATCAGGAGAACATAAACACTACACAAGACAGCATGATATACAACCCTGGTTCTAGAGGCAGAACACCTAAACTCAAATTTAAGCTGTACTACAAAATAGCTGCATGAGCTTGTTATTAACCCAACTTCTCTGAGCTAAGACTGTCCACCAATGATGTGAAAAAAGAAGATAATGTATATGA